GACGGGGAACTGGGGACCGGTACGTACCTACTTCCGTTTTTTTTTTCCTCTTTCTCTCTCTCTTTTTCCTCCGCCTCGTTGTATTCCGATCCATAATTTTCACCTGCCAGTCTGTACGGATTGTACGTATTCCGTACAGATGTGCTACTTATTAGCTTCTGGCTTGTGGTATGCCTGGCTTTGCTGGCACCATCCAAGGAGGCTAGGAGCAAGCATCTCTGTTGTAATACCCAAAGCCAAATCGTGGCATCATCATCGCCAACATCGCCTTCGCCATTATCTTGCAAGTCAGCACACAGAGAAGATGAAGGGATTGGAACCGTAGCGCCGTGTCGGCCAGTAAGTGCGCATGCAGGTCAGATTTTTGTGCCCATGGTATGTTCCGGCTCTTCACATCGTCATCCTTAACCGTTCCCGCCCAAGCCCCAAGTCACGGTGCACTATGGATATTACACCTTCGTTCCATGGCAGAGGCATAGGGATCCTTATCCTCAGAGAGCAGAGAGGGGGGGGAAAACTCTTCTCTCTTTTTGTCATGGCGGCAGTGGTGGGAATGCTCAAACTGTGCCCTGCGGCCTGCCTGACTTGCTAGCTTGGCCGTGGTGAATCCTCGGCCTCATTCGCAATATTGCCTATCCACCCAGCGTATCTGTCCCCTCGTAGTTCAGTCTTGTTTCCCCGTATTGCAACGCCGCCGAACCCACACCCTTTGACCTCCAGAGGCTCCAGGACCCAACATCAATTTTCCCAAATCGTGAACCACATCTCGGTCTACTGCCGACACGTGCCTGACCTCCCACGGTCAATATCTGCTCAGTATGGGGCGAGCCGCGAGGATCGTGAACAACAGGACATAACCCTTGTGCAACATGGGCGGCAGACTCGTCAATACCCTAGAAGTGCCTTTTCCTCCACGTCTACCATGTCCTCCCGGGCCTTGGTCATCCCGCTTTCCTTTCCCCAGGCCACCGAGATTAGCCCCCCAACCTGGTCCTGGCTTGTCTTCCCAAACGACCCTTACTTCTGATTTGTGTGTGGGCGGATGCGCGGGGGCGGTGAGGCAGCGGAAGTGAGTGGTGGCTTGGTTCTGATAAACCCCAAGCTTGTGCCACCATCCTGGTGTTTGATTGGCCCGCCACGCCCTTGGGAAGCTATTCAGGGAAGCACGGATAAAAGAGACGACGAAGGCAGACGAAGCAAAAAAGAAAATGCAGGGGTGGAAAGGGACCCCTCGTCACGCAATGCGCCGCCCAAGTCACCTCGCCTATGGCACAATCCTGTCCCGGCCCTCCCCTCATCGCCGGTTCTTACCCCGTGGGAATGAAGGCAGAACCTTGACCCGCGGGCGCTTGCATTTATTGGCAAGAAGGAAATCTGGGGGAAGGCGTCCGTCCAGCGCCCAGCGCCCAAAAAGGGCAACATTTCGTTTCCTTCTCCCCGGAGAATCCCCAATCGTGCTCTCATCTCACGAGTATCAGCTGAGGAGAAAGGATACCGGCATTCATTCGCCTCATTCCCGACCGGGGGATCGTCCGTACCCCTTGCCGCGGTGCCAATCCAGGCCGCATCGTGGCATGGCCGCCAGTGTCTGTCTGCCCTGGGCAAGGCGAAGCGCATGGAGACAGAGCCCAATAAGCTTGTTCGATGCTCTCCTTCCTCGCCTAAGCCGCAGTCCTTGTGTATCGTTGCCCGGAGCCTGCGACCATTTCCAGGCGTCTATAGGTAGACCTATCTTTGTGCCGGCCGTATCACAGGGCGCAGGGCAGCCTGTCCGAGCTGGCACGGCGCCGCGATCCGAATTTCTCAGCTCACAATGAGATGAGGTCGGGACTGTAACCCCGCGGTGTGGGGGCTTCTCGCTTCACTGCGTTTGCAATGACAAGGCGACCAGACATGCTAGCCAACAAATGGTTCCTATGTATATGAAAGGCGACCAGCAAACAGTGGTTGGATCGAAACACATACGAGTTGCCTCCTTTCATTCCCATTGCCTTGCCGCCCTATGTAACTCTCTTGTCGTGTCACTTAGGGGACCGAGCAAACCCCAGCATGAGCGGCTCGTTTGAAACCCGATGTACTGGCCCCGTCATTACGAGCGTCCTTGGATTGCAATTCCGTGCCCTCCCCTCAACGCCCGGGTCTCGGCGGGGGTGTGGGGGCCGCTGCTCTGTGAAGTGCTTCTAACCTAGCTCCCCTCCTTCGAGATAAGAGTGTATGGAGCGGTACCGGATCCCGAGCAGCAACTGTGCACAATGTCTCTCTTTTTGATCACGAAAGCCACCAGGTGTCCCCATCACCAGACACCTTTCGATAGAAGAAGATCCACGCAACTTGATCAACTTCGCCTCTGCTTCACCGCAATACAACAAATGTGGCCTTGGTCACCTGGGCTGCCTAAGCTGAGTCTCGAGCCTCTCAGCCGACCCAGTCAAAGAATGAGGCCAACAACAGCATCAACAATCGTTGGTGCGATTCTCGACCTTGCTACCTTGTGTGTCTCGGTTGTCTCCTGCCGCGACTCCATAGCGCGGCAAGCGCGAGAAAAGAGCCCTGTCGCAGATGGGTCAAATTTCCGCATCGTGACTTCTTCAGCGCTCGTCAGCGTGAGGGCTAGACTATGTGATCCCCATTACATACATAGTAGTAGATAAGCCGCCTGGTACCTACTTGCTGGGGCTCTCTTGGCTCTCTTCGGCTTGGTAGTCGTACTTCCCTTGGTCCAACACAGGGCTTTACACAGGGTCGGCGCTTCTGCGGCTCGGCAGCCCTCGGTAGTCACTGGCCGAGGGCATATGGCTCCGCTGGTCCTCGGCTCGCCTCTCGGTCTGCGAAAACATAATAGCGCATGAAATTCCGCAATCGCTTGGCTTTTCTGGTGAAGCCGCATTCACCGAGTCACCGGCAGTCTGTCTCCGCCGAGCTTCGGACCCTCGTCGAGATCAGGGTTACCCCCTCACAAGGACTATCATCCTCCTCTGGTATGTTGATGTTGCAAAGGCCGCCATTAGCACCCGTTATGTTCCCAGCATCGAAATTCCGTTATTATCGTCAACGGAAAGTCGGGAATGTGTCCTCCTCACGCCTCCGATATCCAGCCTCGGAAGAGGCTCCTCACTGCGGTAATTGCAAAGCCAAGGAGCCCCTCATTTAGCCAGAATAGAGCCTTCCCCATGATCCAAACGGGATAGAACGTGGGGGGCCATACTGCCACCAGCACCATCCGATGCTTCTATCCCAGGATATCGCCATCAAGCCATGCTTCCATCCAAGTCTCTCATTGGTGTTGCATGACCTCTGATCTTCAAGCGGCGTCACCTCCGCTATTGCTTCTCTAGCGCCCAGGTCCGCGATTGCATATGGTGACCCCAGGTGCGCAGCTGGCCAAGTTTTCGGTCCGTCGTTGAATTGCCATTTCCAGCTCAACTTTCCATCCAGGTGCTTGCGATCACTCAGGCTGCGAGGCGCCCTAAGCTTGATTCGGAAATCCCGGGGGAGGCCCTAATGACCCTGATTCCAAGATTTGGGGTACCCGGCGCCATGAGATCTCTCATCCCCTGACTCTTCTCTCCACGACTAGATTGCCTGATCTCTGTCAGACGAGACGAGAGGCTCCGCGGCCGCGAACTTTGGCGTAACGCGTGCTTCGGCATGCCAAACATGGCATCGCTATTGCGATATGCGTATATCGAGTCAGTCTGCTGGCATGACGCTCGGGATTTCTGGACACTCTGCGATGGCATGGGGCGACAGAATGAGGTGATCCGCCTGATGGAAACGAACGTGTCTGGTAAAAGCAAGCTGTAATGGAATCGACACCTCCACTGTTGGATTTGTCAACCAACTTCAACGCCCCCAACGCTCTAATAGAGTCCAGAAATCTATCAAATTTCTTCTCCCGCCCCCGGACTTCTCCATGCCTCGATCTGGCTGGCTGGTACGTCTGATTGCTGCGCTACTCGTATTTTCAGGGATAGCAAAACGTCTAGTCGCAGGCAGGTTCACGGACGCTAAACCAAGCCGTCTTCGGTAACTTGGCAAGTGGTCCAGAATCCCGAATGTCGTGTATTATTTCGTTCATTTTGACGAGCAATGATAACAAACTAGCCAATGGAAGTCGTCCGAGCTAGGAGTGCTTGGTCGAGTCGTGACTTTCTCAGGGGTATCAGCAGAGCAGGCAGTCAGTCAGGTTGCCGTGTTAAAGCTGAATCTCAAATTTGCCTACAGCTCTCTACTTCCTTTCCTTCCCCAGCAGACAGATAAAGCTCATGCAGTGGACAGATGGCTTTCGTAGCTATCCTAGTCGATGCCTAGACCACGGTTGGATTAATATGGTTTGTTCGTGGGTTTCCGCTCGACATGTCGCCGAGGCTCGCCCGCAACACCACATGAACCCCGTCTTTGTTCTGGGGAAAGTTTCCCTCATCTCGACCCCGACTAAAAATTGGCCACTGTAACTTGTATGCGTACAGATTGTGTGTGCTGTCCTTCGGCCGAATTGGAACGCAGTCGTGAAATGCGGAGAATCATACGCCCATCGCACGACTGTGGAGGCTTTGACGGATTATGCTCGAAATTCCCGACGGATTTTGCGGGGCTGCAACGACGAACTTGCATTCCACACAGGTATGCGCGGGGATTAAGAAACCGCTGCATTCTCCATAGCGGCAACAATGGCAATAATGCATAGTCTCGGGGCTCAGAGTTGCATTTTGCTTTGTGTCGTCTTGGGGTTCGAGACAGGCCCGTGTTGTTCGCGCGGGTAGAACACCGCTGGCCGGCTCGCTGTTTCCACCGCGGGCGGACTCACTCACCTGGGCGTTTCTGCTGTTGCTTCATAAACCTGTCTGTCTCGCTTGGACCGGGTTCATGACGGCTGAAAGATAAGACCTGGAGTCCGGGGCTATGAACTCAAAGAGTGCACTGGTTTGATACACTTGACAAGCGTCGGAATGGCTGGCTCTTGTGAGACTTCGCAATGCCACCAGCGGGCGCATTATCACTCAAATTTCTCGGGGCAACTGTGGGCTTTCGCAGTTGTCCTCAGAGTCGATTGCGAGACTCGCCCAGCATGAGTCAGGTGTTGCTTCCTGCGTTCGACGGTCCAGCGGAAATGAACCGAGCTCCTCAAAGGCAGACTGGATGTGCCCATGCTTCCCCAGACTCCCCTTCACTTCGAGCATCCCCGCAATGTCCTTGGAGAGGCCAAGGAAGTAGCTCTTGGAGCTAGAATCCAAGGGTCGTACCAGTATCATGTGCTTTCTGCCCTGGGTGAAGATTAACCCGAGTTTCCTTGCCGGGACATACGCCTGTGTTTGAAACCAGCTTCCTGAAAAGGGCAATATCTGAAGACGTGGGAATGAGCCGGGGATGGGGCTTCGCAAGGGGGGCTGATATACAGGGGATGTAGATAAGTGTGGGGTACGCCCGGAGGTGTGAAAGTTGAGCGTGGTGTGTTGGCATGGCTCAAGCCTCAGAGTCCCAGTTTTCTGAGGGAGGTCAAGATCCCGATATTCCCCGAAAGCACAAGCAAACAAGTAAGCCAGCCGCTCAGAGAAAAGATTTGGTTTGGTCATAGTTGGCGGCATGTGAGCGGCGCTTGCGAAATCTTTGCCATGTCCTAGATGCCTCAGGTGAGACGCAAACAGACGAATTGACGGCGCTGAGAGTCATCCCTCGTGGGAACATCGCCCAAGTCATTGTAAGCCCTGAATGTTTGGAACGCTTGCCCCTCGTTCCTGTCACATGTGAAAGATAAGCAGATAAAGGGGGATACCCCAGGAAAAACCGGTGTCATTTCGCCAAAGAACAAACCTTAGCATGATGTCAGCGCGAAAGCTTGGAACTGCATTCAGCAAGTTGGAGAAACGGTAACATTCTTCCACATGTAAATCCTGGAGAAGCACGTACCTTGCATTGCACATGCGTAGGCGAGAGGGTCTGGCCAGAATTGCCATCCAGAAGTGAGAGTTTGACGGCTGTTAGCCGCACCTGTAAGCGGGCGACTCCAGGCAATCTGAAGCGCCGCAGACTGCTGGCCCGAGCCCCGATATCGTCACTCCACAAAAGATGTGGAACGAATACTGCGGATGAGAGAAACTCCGCTTGCCCTACGTTATCAACCCCAGGTCTCTTCACCCCAGCTTGCCATCAAGGGTCCTCATTAGCAATGTACCCCGGTGTGTGAGACGAACGAATGTGTTTAATGCCAACGTCGACGAAGGAATCAGGATTCGTAACCTCTGGACCCCGAGACGATAACATGATCCGTCGACCCGAGCGCAGGCATTGGGATAGAGAAGGAGGCAGTGTGTGGCTAATGCTTCACGTGTGGCCCATAGGCTGTGGGCGTGGCTGGCAAAGAGCACGACATGCTCTTTTAGTACCGTCATGCTTGACGGTTGGCAGTATTCTCATCAGGGAGGTCCTTGAAATCTCTTGCATTGAAATGTCGAGACCCAGGCTCTTGGGCAATGTCTAGCCGCGAATATATCCGTCCCTGTAAGGCACCTCGGGCCCTCGCTGTCGGGTATGTAGGACACATCTCTGATCTCCGCAAGGATCTTGCCGTGCATTCGTGTCAAAGGTTGTCCGGGTTTTTGTGGATATCTTTTCCGGTTTCCGAGCCAAGCAACGCCCATTCAAACGGTCAGGACGAAGTATGGATATAGATAAGAATATTGGCTTTCCATTCCGCCGCCTGACTTGCAAGCACTTGTGTCCTGGCAATCTGAATCCCCTTGGGACACCTCAAGAACAAGAATTTGCTCAGTCTGGACATGTCGGACCCCGCAGGGGCCACTCGGTATCATGCTGTACTGGCTGAAGGCTAATCCGCGTTGATGAGCATCATCGAACCGAAGTGATTTTATTATCGGAGGCGATTCTCGACGTAATTATCGTGCAATACGTACAAGATCAAACCGTCCGAATCATTGTCATCAACATTCCTCATAGCCAAGACCAGAAACAGTGCCTGCCGGCAATGTTTTTGTGTCGAGACCAGAATCGTACTTCAAGTGGTGTGGCCCGGCAGGTGAAACCGCGACTGAGGATATTCGAGCGCTTAGGGTTACAGGCCACCAAAGGTCTGCGGCAATACAAGATCTGAGAGCTCAAAGCCCACTGGATACAGGGTTCTAACAAATGAAACCGGAGAGGCCCTAGAATATTCCGAGTTGTTGTGGAAATAGACTTGCGAACCAGTCGGTGAAGAATCGAGTGAATTAGATGCGCAAAAGGGCGCGCTCGAGCAATGGACCCTGGCGACCACGTTCCACCCGTTTGGCCCGGAAACACTGCCGTCAGTGCTGGCGATTCTTGTCGTCCGAAACTTAGCCAAGGCTCCGGAAAGGTACTGAACGTTCCAGGTGGTCGGTACCAGAAGGCTTGAAAAGCTGAGGCGGCTCGAAATAGTCGTCTTGTCTGGTTAGAATGATGCGGCCGGGCAGGGTTCTCAATGGAAGACGTTCGCTGCCATTCTCCTAGTCGGTGTATGTCCCAGAAAACGGGAGTGCAAGACTCCTACGATTCTGCGAATGTAAATGATTGCTGGGGCGCGCTGGTTTGAAGTCACCAGCACCCCGGTGTCGAAGTTGGATGCGGCTCAATGCGCCCTCTCAGCTGTGATTTGGGGATCGTGGCGCAACCCCTCGTCGCATCAGTCGACATTGGTCTTTTGTTGCTATAGATTCGAATGGGTTGAGATTGGTACCTACGAAGAGGATGATGTATTGTCCATCAAGTTATCTTGCCTTGGGCAGTTCCTTTCGTCGCGCAGTAAGAAGGTGCGCTTTTCCCTCCTCCCACCTTATACCCAGCCACATGTCTGCCTGCAGCGAGCGTGTGTGGCTGATGACCTCATGAGGGGCAGGTGTGAGAAGGACACATTCGTACTGTGCAACCTTTTCAACTTTACGTCGTCCATTGAAGCACATCAGGACCACCGAAGTAGTCGAGGAGACGCCTCGAGCAAGAGTTGAGGTCCCAACAATGGAAAAGTACCGCTCCTTTCACGAGGAGGATATTTCTAGCTTCGACCTCCCCTCCACACGCATGTAAATCTCCGCCCTCAGATCATGACAGCTCCTGACAGAGTGCAGATCGACTGCCTACAGTGTCCGCGGCCGATGCACTGGAAGAACTAGACGGTGGTGTCACCAGACGTGTCTCTACCGGAATTTCGCGACTAGATGAGGCTCTCGTATCGTCTTGGCCTCTTCCGGCACCGAATTCGACACGTGGGGGAGGTCTCCAGAGAGGCCAAGTCACCGAGATATGGGGACCCCCAGGCTCAGGCAAGACAGCTGTAGGGTGAGATGCCATTATCCTATCCTCTTGGTGGCGGAATGTCCTCAAGGCTAATCCGTCAGCAAAGTATTCAGTTGGTCGCGAATGCGCTATGTGAGGGTCATGGTGCTGTGTGGGTAGGTCGGTTCATCTAAGACTACCATGCGCCGGAAGACGACGACGAGGCTGACGCACAGTTCAAAGATTGTGCGTATTCGGTTTGCGGCCATCGACTTAACGCGGTGATCGAGGCAGTGGAAGCAGCCCGGCCATCCGAGGACAATGAAGCGGCAAAAGCAGCCACGGATCACTTTGCACATTATAGCTGTCCCAGCCTGCCTCATCTCATTTCACTCTTATGCCGTCCTGCAGCGGCGACAGTGCCAGTAAAGGCGGCTGTGGTCGTGATAGACTCCTTATCAGCTTTGGTAAATCACGCCTTCCCCAAAGCGCCTGACGGTAGAAAAGATTCGTCGCGCGGCACAGGTTGGTGGTCACGGACCAGTTCGAGGTTTATCTACTCATAGCATGCAGGTCCAGGTTTTTCAGCGAAGCGGCTGCAGGCTGTACAGTACATCACCAATGCGCTACAGAAACTGGCAGCGACGCGCGACTGCGCAGTGGTGGTCCTGTCGCAATGTGCAACCAAGATGCAGCTGGAACGGAGCGCGACTTTGATCCCATCCATTAATGCTGGAGTATGGGAACAGGGCATGTCAACGCGGGTCGTGCTGTTCAGAGACTGGGTCTGGAAGGAAGAGCGACCATGGACTGTATGCTTCGCCGGTGTGCAGAAGCTAGACGGCAAGGCTGGGCTGGACATGATGCAGAGCGCAGCGGCGTTTAGAATTGAGGCGGTCAGTATTTTCGTTGGGCAGTCACGATTCCGGCATAATTTCGCAAAAGCGGAGTTTCCAAGACGAAGGAGTATGTGGTTTGCTGACATGGCTCGTTATCGTGACAGACGGGCGTGGTCGGCGTGCAGTACGACACTAGCCAACCATCGGTGCTCCTATCAACGACTGCACGGGCGAAACGCAAGTTGGCAGAGGCTGGCCTCGAGGTGCCCGATAGCGACGAAGATGACGAGGAGTACGGATGGGCACAAGAAGACGAATCGGCGCTTCCCGGCCCGCCGCCGCAATGGCAAGGCAGTGAAGACATTCTCTTAGGGACTCAAGCGGCCGAAAGCGAGGATGACGGCAATAGCGACGGAGACGGGCGCGATGGGGATGAGGCAGCGACTAGCGGCCGAGATAACAAGGATTTGGCCGAGTAGCAAGAGGGATTGCGGAGACTGGGCCACGATGAAATATTTCCGGGTGAAGGACCGGAGCTTGGCCGATAGATAGGACGAGCATGAATCGATAATACGGTACGGAAAGTGGTACCTACCTTCACGGCCCTCCCTTTGGCCTCAGACTAGGCTACCCAACCCTAGGCTTTGACGAGATTCGGAGGCAAGTCAGAAAAGTTCCTCACCTGGAGCCAATTCCGAGACTGACGGAGTGTGTCATGTAACGGATACTCAAGCTTCAAAATTCAGGGTGAGGCGAGGGAAAGATTGAGGGGAGAAAAAATCCAGTCCAAAACCCCACCAAATATGACGGACGACCCGCCAAGGATAGAGATTCAGCGGTTAAGGACCGATAAGAAGTAGAGGTCGGTCAAGACCCGGGTCCACCGAGAGCATAAAAGTCCATTGTCACCATCGGCCAAATGTCGGCTTGACGCGGACCGCCTGGAAGCACAAGCTCAGAGACACTCCAGGGCTCAGGGGGGGGCATGGAGATAATACGCCGTGGCTCGTCCGGGGCCCCGACCCCAACCTGAGCATCGTGGGGTCCACATGTTTGGTAAGCCGCAGTCGCTGTGGTAGCTGCAGTGGCACTCTTTGTGAGAAGGTAAGGAGTAAAACGGAGGGAGGATGAACTGGCCGGCTGGTATGTGGGTGAGGTGGGTGAGTGAGCGAGTGATTGAAACTAGACGGCTGTGTGTTGTCATTGTGCTCCGGGCAAGTCCGGGTGCTGCTGGAGGCTCACCAAGGGGAAAAAAGGGGGTCGTGATGGCTGAGGTGAGAGGTGGAGGGAGCCATTAGCTTACCTATCGGGGGGGCGCGACTTTCCATCTACGTATTTTTGCTGGGAGGGAGTGGACGGCTTTTCGTGGGGAAATCTCTTTTTCCCCCTTGTGGCCCGTTTCTTCTCGAAGGAAAAAATGGCGTCAGATCGAGGGCCCCCACATGCTCTGCAGCGCCGGGCTACTTAGGTAGTCCTCGGACACACTGCTCCTCGTAGAGGCACCTTACCCTGTGTGTCCGTACATTACCTAGTCACAGCGGACCGGAGAGCACGCTGTACATTGAATGTATGCTGGCTTGGCTCAGGTGGGTATCTCTGCTGGGCTCAGTGGTGCGCCAAGCACTGCGAGGTTCCCCATGAGCTGTGGCCTTCAGGGGGATATGTGCCTCTCCGCCGTGTAGGTAATTAATATTCAGGGTAGTGGGAGATGCACACATGCTACCATCCTGCATTCCCACATATCCTCAATCGGCCAAGGACTTGGTGCCGTTGCAAAGTACCTAAGATATCCCATCAGCGGGATCACACAGGGTGGATTCCACATCGCTCGCTCTTCATGCCGGGTGCGCGGTATTGTCGTGTCGCCAAGCAAGACGGCCCCGAGGGGGCATGGCGGGAAACCAGGCACAGAGCCTGCCTAGTTGAGGCAAGGTACCTTGCTGTTGGAGAAGTATTTCTGGAGAAGAAGTGACTTTGGAGCCTGCGGTATACACTACTCGAGTAAGGCTTTTCCCCGGTCGCATTCCGCTATTCGCGACCATCTCGCGCTTCGTCAGAGCCTCTGGAGTTCTGAGGCGCCCCAGATCTTCCGAGCACGTTTTGCTAGATTCACGCCCATTTTCCTCCCGCAAAGAGCTATACGTACCTGCCCTGCTTCCCGGTCCCTACAACGAACAAGTCACAGCCCTGCGACGGGTGGTCCACTGTCTTCGTTTTTTCTTTTCCTTTCTTTTTTTTTTTTTTTTTTTTTTTTTCCCTTGCAGGTGGAAATTCCCCTTTTTCCCTTTTTTTTCCTCTCTTTTTTTTTTTTTTCTCCTTTTTTTTTTTTTATTTCCCCTCGGCTCCCCCCCCATTTTCCCCTTCTTTTATCTCCCCCACTCCCCACAGTTCCCCCTCTCCCCCCCCTCCCCTTTTTTTCCCTCTCTCTTTCTCTTTTTCAGCCTCTTCTTTTTTTTAATGCCGCTGCGGATCCGCACCTAGTGCACCTTGCTTATCGACTCCAGACTGCTCAAGGTATCCGTACCTCGACCCAATTGGGTGACATAAGCCAGCTCCATCCGGAACCACTAGCATCAAGCATTGGCATTGGCATTGGCATTGGTCGTAGCCTATGTGAAGTTATTCCCACATGGCCGGCTGTAACTCACATATATTGTACGTACATCTTTCATATATTATTCTCCGGGCTCACCAGGGGCCCCACCTTTCACTATCGAGCCTGCACAGAATGTTAGCACTGGCTCGTTAGTCGACTTGACGAGTCTGGACCGAGCTCGTTTGTCACTGCGATTGGTGCCATTTTGCTTACCCTTGGCTCTCGCGCAATGATTCCCAGCCATTCGCTCTTCAGGCCAAACCCGCTTGCCCGCAACACGCAGGCAAGCGAGCGAGCGAGCAAACGATTTTCTAGAGGATGGATGGGTGTTTGTCAGGACTCCCGTCAATTGTGTGTATTGCTCATTACATGGCATCACTCCAGTCCGAGGTTGCCTACCTGTGTATGGATACGTCGTCGGTGGTTGCATCGCTACTGGATTCGGTCACAAACCTGACCGAAGCAAATTGCACTCGCGAGCCGCAGCTGCTTCCCGTCTTCTCCGCCTTCTCCGCCCTTGCTCCAGCTAGCCCCTCTCCGCTTGTTTTCTTTGCCCACAGAAAACCTACCGCCATTTCTATCTTACGATGGTGCGCAAAAATCGAGAGATTAACCCCAGGTAGCCTGCCAGATCCTAGGCCATTCACAGCCCCCAACGCAACGCAATGGGGTATGGCTCCTGCGAAGCAAGTCCCAGTGCAACAGGCGGGTAGGGTGTTTCAGCTTCGACGAGTCGAATAGTAGGTAGGCACGCCTACAGAGCAAATCCAATCCAAACTACTGCACACTACCGTCCTCCCTCCGCTCCCGCCTGGTCCGCTGAGCCAACCCGAGGTCCTATCGGCTGACGCTGGAGAGAAGGAAACAGGAGATCTCAATTACGGTCCGCTTGAAACTTTGCTTCCCTCATCATCAGCCGATGTTCCTTATCTGTATATTTTAACCGCACCAGACAGCAGAACTGCTCTATAGTCTGTCACAAGAGAGTCACAAGAGGGGAAAAGGACAGACCAAGCGGTATCTAAGAAAGGAGGTCTAGATTGAGTGATCTGGCCCGGTGGAGCAGATCGACCGTGCTACTGGCGCCTTCCTACCCGCTCTCTTTTTTCTCCGCATCGAGCAAGTCACATATACGATATGACATCGTCCATTGCAACCACTTCCACCATGACAACCCCATCTACAACCGATCATGACCAGTTCAAGCCCGGTCTTTCTGCTGCCGCTGCTGCGCTGCTACTGTTACAAGCTCTTACCGTCACAAGCGAGTAACAAATGAGAATTAAATAGGCGACTCCGACTGCGGAGGACATCGCTGCCATGGCATCCTCACGCCACACTTGTAGCGTGAGCAAGTGCTTGCGCCTCTGCGAGAAGAGAGTGTATCTCAGCCTCTGGGGGCCTCTGGGACTGCGGGCACAACTGCGACCTCTGCCAAAGAAGCTACTGCATAGATCGCCAATTCGCCGCGGGTCGCATATACCGATGCAACCACGGGGAGCAGAGGTTTTTGCATGCTGTTAGTACCAATGATATGGATGCATGTGTGTGCGCGCGAGTGGACGGCTCGGATGCCGGGCCCAGATTTTCGTGTATCCTGCAGAAACGGCCTATCGCCAGCCCACTTGGACTGTACAGCACGCAGCAAAGGGGGCAGCGGAGGGTGACATCAGGACTTGAGACGATTTTTGCTGCAGACCGTAGGCGCCTCCCGCTCCTCAGTCAGCCCACAATGCCACTGAATCGTGCGGACGTCGTCTAACCCTGGCTCCACGTTCCCGGGTTTCCGCGGCGGCGGCGAAGACTACGACGACGGACGACGGAGGACAGACGATGAAGACGGCAGCGCAGAACATAACTAAGTTGGCAAGACCAAACGACATCATATCCCCCGGATTCTGGCCTTCAATTGGCGGGAGCCGCAATGTGACGGTGCCCGCAACTCCTGCAACAAAACTCGTTCTAGACTTCCCTCTGTTGCTATGCACCGACGCAGCATTGCTTGACTTTGGACTCTCGATCTTCGTCAGACGGCTGTGTGCTGGCTTGTTCCCTGTTTTCCACCCACCGGTGTAGTATATGCTGTTTTGTTTTTTGTTTTGTTTTTTGTACCGGAATGTGCGTTGTCTTCTGCTTGATGCTCTTAACGCTTTCACAACACTGCCGCTTGCTCGTTGATGTCTCCGCAGTCGTCTCTGCGGCACACCCGGTTTTTCCCCGCCTGAACTCGTTCGATGGCCCCAATGCCAACCTCTCCACCACGCCGGTCCCGCTGGCCCGCGTTGCCGCAACCACTGCCGGGATCCAATGTGCGCTCTTTTGTTTTTGGACACTGTGGTATATATATTTGATTTGGGATTTCTCCGAGAACTCGGCAGAGTTGTATTTCAACGACGCTAGAGCTCAACGGATAGTCCCACGAAAGCATGGTGTGAGTATATGATATACAAGCAACAAGAAGCGAGGGGCAACAGATACGGAAGAGAAAGGCAACCCGTACTCGTAGAAGGGCAGAGAGAGAGAGAGACTTGTGTAACAGTAGGATGAGTAGAGTTGCCTGCAGCGGATAACCTGCAGCGATCATGCACACATCCCGCTTCCCCGCCCGCCCGTCAACACACCCTCGGTCAACACACCCTCGGTCACTATCCCCTTTCTTCCTCTCCCCATCGCCGCCGGAGGCGCTCGCTACTCGGCCACACGGAGAGGCGCTTCTTCGCTCACCGGGATCGAGTTTCAATGTAACTATATGGCCTCTCTATATCCTGTTCTCCTGCACATCTTGGCTACTTATGGATTGAATCACCTCGTCCCTCGATTCTCGTCCTGCATGACATGCGGGGGATGGGGAAAATTCTAGACCGCTCTTCTCGTGATACTGAA